CGTGAAGTTATAGATAAAGACAAGTTATATTACGAGGTATTTGCACTTATTTTTAGCCTTTCTAATTTTCTTATAATTTTTCGTGTATGTATGTATGTATGTACATTTCTAAAACATCCTTACTTGCAAAGTCTGTTAAGTCCTTGCGTCTAGTTATGGTACTATTTATTTTTATGATGTTGCATGAGGTGATCTTTTCTGGCCTTAAGGAAATTTTAATTGAAATATCAGGATAAATTTAATGATACCAAACAGTTAATACAACTTTTAAACATAATCCTTTGCTTTTTCCTCTTCCTTGGCATTAAAATCTCCTCTAGGGTTTCTTAGTCACTTAACTTTTTCGCCACAACTTTGCTACCTGTTTGGAGCTTCACTTTCGTTATCTCAGTGTTTAATTACTCACTGATATAGACATCTCGAAATCATATTATACTACTTCGCAAATCGTCCTTGCTATTTTTCAGTGAATACTTTTTTCGTGGAATCGTTCAACTGCTAAGTCGTTTTGTTTTGGTCTTTGTTTCTAGCTGAAAACTGGATTTGGCAAATGCTTACATTAAATTTTCGTTTGAATTGCTAATACTCTAATCTTTTTTATTTGATATCTTCAACATTTTATTGATCTAATGTCCTATCGTTTTTTAAGACATAGATGGTTATGTGTGTGCTTTAGTAATTATAAAATAATTATCTTGAACTTCATTAGATATAGGATAATTGTTTTACGATAACCATGATTTAGATCATTATATATATATATATATATATATATATTCTTGTTTATATTAGCAACAAAGCATGCTAATAGTTGGATACTCTTAAGCTTAAATAAACTACATTTTTTGAAAATATATAATATATATATATATATATATATAATAGACTCAATCTAATCAAAACTTGATCTTTTTAATGGACACATTCGGAAAAATTTTTATTTTCAGTTCGAATGTGAGCCATCGCGAGTTTTTAATATTCAACGAGTTCTTGAATCTAAGTACAATGCTGCCGTGATCGAGGCTGAAGATCAACTTGAGCCACACGAGCTGGTCATGGTGGACCCAGAATTGCGACTCCAGATAAATACACTTGTTGATCGGCTCCGCGAACGTTGTGAGTACATTATTCGGGTGTTTGACAATATATGCGAACCCGAGCTGGAGACTACCGCAGACCAGAGCAGAGCTTAATAATTAGTTCAATGACTCGACCTTTTACTGCTCTTCCCTATTCGCAACACATCGAGAGGGTTTACGGATTCCAAAAGCAGCATATACTTTGTTATATATCTTTATTCATTATTATTACATCCTATTGAAGTCATTAGCGTTATTTACTTCCTTCTGTAAATGCTTAATGTGTAAAGTAGTCCACTTTCTAAGTTATTTCATTTCATTTTATATTAATAAAATGATTTAATTTGGCTGCTTCATAAAATAATGTTTACATTTACTAGCATTTTATCCCATCGTATATCCTTTTCTCAGAAGTGAAATAATCACAAGAGACTCGTATGCATGTGTTTCACTCGAAACGAAACTTAATCCTCCAATCTTCTTTCTTTCCTTACTCGTTTTCACGCCTATATTCTGGTATCTATCTTGCAAATAGGTATCTACTTAACTGTAAATACCTTAGGTACTGGGATGGTTTAATTGGAAGCTGTTTATGTTGAGATATGGCTGTTTGTAGTTAAAACATTAAGACCAGCCCTGCCATGTTTTTTGTTAAGCATTGATTTCTTTTTTATTCATCGACCAACTATTTAAGGAATTCATTGGATATGTACTTTCAGTATATTTAATGTTAAGAATTCCTCATCCATGAATTCATTCCCTCTTTTTGTCTTTAGCTTCCTCGAATCCTTCCCCTAAGATATTCTTTTTCTCACAACTATGAATCTTTAAATTTTATACCTGGTTCTATTCTGTTATGTACCTAAAAAAAGACTGCAAAGTTGTAACCAACGGTTTTCAAAGAATCTTCTGGGAGAAGATTAATGTGAAGACTTTTATTTCGTATGGAAGTTCATGATGAAGAGATTCGTAGGTCAATTTCACCAAAATACGTCAAATGATTCGTGTTGTACTGCAGCCGTTTGACATTGGTACGATGTTAGGTTGATGCAGTATACGCAGTGTTAACTTGAGGCCTTTGCAAGAACGAGTACCAGCTCTGACGATGTTTGTCACATGACGAACAAGAGCTCAGCCCTTTGCCCGAAACGTTGGAGGATGTTTCTTGGACTACATCAACCTAAACGTAGTATTAATGCCAAACGGCTGCAATACAACGCGAATGAGCCGACGTCTTCCGGTTAGATTGACCTACGAGTCTCTTCATCATGTACTTTCATACGAAATTAAATTCTTCACATCAATATTAAAATTTTTTTCGAATGATCTCTTGCTTTTATTAAATACATTTTACGAATATCTAAAATGAGACTCAAGATATCGGGGTTTCTTCGAATTAATAGTAGTTCCAGGATGGCACTAGTAAAAGGATACTTATGCCTCGTTGCCAGTCTACATCTAAAAACACTAGCTCTCAAATTCGTATGAAAGTTAAAAATGTCCATGATTTTTTCCCCCCATTATTATCTGCGAGAGGATTAGTCTGTTTGATGCACATTTTCTAACGTCATGGAGCCTTAGTTGACTAACCAAAAGTAGGTCTACTCTCGCGAATAGGCCCATGCATTCGCTGATGGTGGCTGTCTCGTTTATCTTACTTAGTGATTACTTTGATAGTATGCACATCCTTGAATTATTCAACTGGCATACATAATGTTAATCTGTATATACTCGGTAAAATGATTGCATTGAATTTAATTTTAATGCATAGAAGCGGTATGACCTCGTATTTCTAACTTGCTGTCGAAGGGACCTATCTAGTCCGAGGTCCTCTACTGTGGTTATGGTAATTCCAAGTGTCCGACCCTGGATTTAGTACATTATTAGACTCTTTCCGGCATCGTTAGTGGGCCTTGTAATTCTCAGCACCGAGCTACAACCCATCAAAGAGACAATTGAAGTCAATCCTTTGGCTAACTTTCTGCTGGGCAGTTGTTATCACTTTTTATGTCCTGATACATCTACCTACTCTTTATCCTCGTATCTCACATTCGCCTTATCACAACATCTAACTTGTGTATATTCGACTTCCTTGGAGGTGTGTCCTTTTGGTGAGTTTAGTGGGACATCATATTACCTGTCTTACCCTACCCCTCCATCTCAATTTGCTGATACGATTCTGACCTATCAAAATCCCTCATGGGCATGTAGACTCGTTTCTGGTTGACTGATTTAACTCGGCTCCAGTCCCAGTATACGTCTTACCTCAAGCGCTATTTCTCATTCCTTAATAACGCGTACCCTGGCCCCACCGAGCATAGCGCCTAGGCTCCGATTTCCATGCTTGTGCCTATCAGGCAAGCTACATCTCTAGTTGATTTTTAGTAAATTTGGCCATAGTGTCGAATTTCTGTAGCGGTTGTGATTATCCGTCTTACTAGTCTTGTGGCCTCCAGGTACCTAAACTTGGAGTTGTTTTTTTTAGCAGATTACTGAGAATGTCTTTGCTTGTCTTTGCTTCTTCTTTGTGGTCCTTTTTCCTCTTGTTGACGATAGGTCTGATACAAGCATCTATTTTTTGCTAGTCTTGTCGTATCCTTGTTTTCTCCGGGTTTGCTTAAGCGATAGGCAAAGTTGTCACTAGCTCTGCCTTCTTCCAATCTCCTTTTCGTTAAATTTCTTTCCTTAGGGATATCAATAGTCTACCTAATCTTCCGCTTTCTTTATTTTGCTTTTCATCTGGTCTCATTTCCGTTATGCGCAATGTGTTCTGCTATTTATTTCGGTAGCTGTCTTCCTGCAGAGTCTGACGTTCCTTGACTTGTATGCTTATTTTTCTTCATCTTTCGATAATATATTGCTGTTTGCAGGCCTTATATGCTATGCAGAAAACTCTCGAGCAATCCTATTTGTCTACTCACCTATGTATGTAAATTTGTGGCGAGTTTTGTTTTTTCCTTTTTGGTTACCTAAATATTCTTTTTTAATATTATCCGTTGTTTCTGAGTAAGTTTGCAGGACGGTAGGCAAATCCTTTTTCGTGAATCTTTCTCCATCCCTATTTTTTTCTTTCATAATGTTCGCTCTGCCATTGGCTATTCGCGTATTCTCCCCCGAAACCGTTGACGTGGTACATCTGAGACAATTTGTCCAATTATTCATCCCAGAATTCCGCGTCCGGTGATCGCAGGCTTTGGTTGATTGTGCTCCTCATTATTCCTATCTTCATTCTTTAGCTGTGATGAGACTGGGAGTTATATATTATTCCGGGTTATAATTTTTTCTGAACAATTTTCTCTTGAGCATCACATTCGATATCCTGGAGATGGAAATGCTCCTCTTCCATTTTGATTATGAGCTTGGTTCTTTCATCAACCTGGTTGCTAAACTTCAGGAAATCCTCTTATTTTTCTTCTCTGCGACTAAAATGCGCAGTAATCGTCTAGGTACCGCGTGAACATTCTTGGTTGCAGTGGTGGCGTCTTGAAATCCTATTCCAATTTGTTCATGTATAAGTTTGTCGAAAGAGATTAGAGCGCAATCCCATAGGGCGTCAAAATATTTGCTCATTGGTTTTGCCGTCGAGTATAAAGTAGTAAGTCTTTACTGTCTAGTTAATTTTTCATGTTGATGACTACCTTCTGTTCCTCTGCTTCCAGCATATCCTCTGCTCCGTCCGAGATCTCCAGTAGGGCGATTAGCGCCTTTGCGAGAGATGTTTTTACACATAAATATTACCTAAAAATTTACCATTAGTTTTGTTCCTTCTAGTGTCAGGTTTTTTATCCTTTAGGAAAATACATGTAAATGTTTAACAGTCTGTTAATCTATCGTTTCACTTGTTAAGTTTCAATCATGAACTTTGCCAAGTTGTGTGCTACTCCATTCTTGTTGGCTATTAGCCTTAATGGTTCTTTGTGTATTTCTGGTAATATGTAGCCCGTTAGTGGTCGTCCACCCTTTTCTGTTATTGTCCATTTATTGATCTCCCCATTCATATTCATATCTTTCAGCATGTTGCGTGTGATGCCATTGATTTTCTTGGTTGGGTCCTTTAGTGGTCCTGCCTTTTAGTATACTTTCCATCTCCCTGTTGTAATTCATACTGGTCATTATCATTGTTGCTCCTACTTTATCCACCTGAAGGACTAATTGTTCATTCGCTTGTAGGGCTTTACGTATCCACGTTAATCTGTTTCTGATGTATCGAAATTCTTGGAATTATTCCCAGTTTTGTTTCCTCAGCAAACTTGTTGGGGATAATGATGGTCTCCACAAGGATGTCATGTAGAACGTTTCTTTCATTTAGAAGAGGAGAATTTAGCCCTTGAGGATCGTAGTGGTTTGAGAATCAAGAATAATCGAGGCTAAAGTAATCACCTTATCCCCATCGTCGTATTGATCAGTCGGTGTTGCCCGCTCGGAAACTACCTGAACTGGATGCGCTGGCTTCAATTTAAGCAGTCTTATAATCCCATACCTAGGCAATTCTTTTCATGTCTTTTATTAATTCGGAGGTCTTATATGATTTCTTTTCGGCCATACTCTGGAGTTTGTGAAAATCTTCCGGGGTCATAATCCTGGCCAGATCACGCCAAAGTGAAACGTCTACTGACACTGGAACCGAGTGAAATCAGTCAACCAGGGCAGGTAAGAAAAGAAGCTCTAGAGCCATGAGGAAGATTTTAATAAGAACTCCGGTTACGGCAAATCAAGAGAGATGGCGTGCTAATACCCCGCTCAACTCGCCAAAGAAGGAACCCCTCTAGATTAGTCGAACATAAAATTAGAATTTGTGTTATCGAGGGAATGAGATACGGGGATATGGAGTAGGTGGATGCATCAAGACATTAGGAAGAGTGATATAAACTAGTCAAAGAATTTTTTTGAATTCTCTCTGACGTGTTGTAATTTGGTGCTGAGAGTGGTAAGGCTCACTGGCGATGACGGAATAATGTCTGGGAATCTAGTAAGTACACTGCCTAACACTACTATAGCACATGACTTCAAACAAAGTGTCAATGACAATACGACCAAGTTTTAAGAACGAGTGCGGACCAACCTAATTAATTTGGTCGAAGGCATGAAGACAAAGATTGTGGCCTTTTGTATGG